AGTTTCCCAGCACCTCGACCAGCACCAGCAGCAGATTGCCCAGCTGAACGCCGCCATGCAGGAAGAGCTCCAAACGCTGCATAAACTGACCATCGCTCCGGTTCTACCTAAGGGAGCGGCGAGTGCACCCAGTCCACCTCCTCACGGGCTATCACCAACATCTGAGGGACCCCTCGCCCTGCCGGAGCGCTATGATGGGAAAACAACGAAATGTAGAGGCTTCCGGCTACAGGTTTCACTGTATCTGGCGTGTCAGCGTGGGGCATCTCCATCGGACCAAGCCAGGATAGTGCTGGTGATTTCGCTACTGAAGGGAAAGGCGCTGGATTGGGCCACGGCAGTCTGGGAAGGAGGTGAGGCCGCGGCGCTTCCCTACTCCACCTTCCTCGCTTGGTTCAGGGCGTTGTTCGATCATCCCACGGAGGGAAAGGACAGGGGTGAGCGTCTCCTCCGGCTACAACAGGGAGTGGGGGCCACGTGCGAGTACGCCCTGAGCTTTCGCACGGTGGCGGCATTTCCGGCTGGAATGAGCGTGCTCTGCACACAGCCTTCAGGAGAGGCTTACTGGAGGATATTATGACGAAACTCGCATGTCGGGACGACGAGATGGACCTTGATACCCTCATCGCCACGTCCATTCGTCTTTACGACCTGTTGAGAGACCGACGGCGTTCCCAACAACTCCCAGAGCCTTGACGCTCACCCCATCTGAGCTATGGAAGCCGCACTGCCTCCGAGTCCTCACCCATGGAGGTGGGCAGCACCCCCTACACCACCACGGACCACAGATCTCCTGGCAGCTCCCTATCTAGGCGGTATGACTCCCGTCGCCGCTCCGTGAGTGTTCCGTCATCACCTGTCACCAAACCATTGTTTTTAGTTCCCCTAACGGTGAATGGTTCTTCCTTCTCTAGATTCCGGATCAGCAGGGAACCTTATAGCGGGGAACCTTATAGATAGGGAGCTGGTCTCTGAATGGGGGTTGCCCACCGTGCCACTGCCTTCTCCGCTACACGTCACCTCGCTGGACAATAAAACACTTGGATCAGGCACCATTACGTACGTCACTCTCCCCATCACCATCACCATTCCCACACTACCGGAGCACCACAAGGAGCTGTCCTTCCACATCGTCACGTCACCCCTTCACCGGATCATCTTGGGATTGCCCTAGCTCAGACTACACAACCCCACCATCAATTGGATCACCAAGAGGATCACAGCCTGGTCCCCCTCATGCCGGAGGACCTGCCTGCTGGTGGTTTGTTGTTCCACGTCAGTGGAGAGTCCGGAGTCCGCCCTACAGCCCAACATTCCACGTGAGTATGCAGATCTCTCTGATGTCTTCTCTGCCTCCAAGACTAAGTGTCTCCCTCCTCACAGGCCCTGGGACTGGGCCATTGACCTGCTGGATGGACAACACCCCCCGAAGAGTCGCATTTACTCCGTCTCCATAGCAGAGACTGAGGCCATGGAGAAGTATGAGGCGGAGACCCTGAAACAGGGGTTCATCAGACGCTCTACCTCTCCTGCCTCCGCCAGCTTCTTCTTCGTGGTACCCCCTCCCTCTGGTTCCGTTGGCCATCGAGCATCTGTGAGGGGCCCGGTACTTTACCAAGTTGGACCTGAGGAGTGCCTACAACCTGATCCGAATCCAGGAAGGAGACGAGTGGAAGACGGCATTCAGCACTACATCAGGCCACTATGAATACTGCGTCATGCCCTACGGCCTCGCCAACGCACCTTCCGTGTTCCAGTTCTTCGTCAATGACGTGTTCTGAGACATGCTGAGTAGACAGGTGGTGGTGTACATCGACGATATCCTGATCTACTCAGCTACGTTCGAGGAGCACGTCAGGGACGTCAGAGCGGTCCTACTCCACTCCGAGAACACAGCCTGTTGGTGAAGGGGGAGAAATGCGAATTCCACCAACAGGCCATCTCCTTCCTGGGATACAGGATCAGTCCTCAGGGGGTGTTCATGGAAAGAACGAAGACGGACGTCGTCAGGTCATGGCCAGTCCCCACCACCATCAAGGGCCTACAGAGCTTCCTGGGCATCGCAAATTTCTACCGGCGTTTCATCAGGTCCTTCAGCTCCATAGCCGCCCGCTCATCTCTCTCCTTAAAGGAGGGCCTCAGAAGCTGGCCTGGAACCCTGAGGCTGACGCTGCCTTCAAAAGGCTGAAGGAGAGGTTCACCACAGCGCCCTTCCTAAAACACCCAGATCCAGCTCGTCCTTTCATCCTGGAGGTGGACGCATCTGTGGAGGGTGTGGGTGGGATCCTCTCTCAGCGGCAAAGTAAGCCAGAGAAAATGTATCCCTGTGCCCTTTTCTCGAAAAAGCCTACCCCCGCAGAGAGGAAGTATGGAGTTGGAGACAGGGAGCTGTTGGCGGTGGTCCTCACTCTGGAGGAATGGGGACACTGGCTGGAGGGCGCAGTCCATCCATTCGGGATTCTCACTGACCACCGGAATTTGGAGCACATACGGGCAGCGAAACGGATGAACTCTCGTCAAGCCAGGTGGGCCCAATTTCTTACTCGCTTTCAGTTTATTCTGTCCTGCCTGGGGGTCCTATCCTGCCTCCGTCTCTCATCGTGGCACCTGTCGTTTGGGATGTGGACAAAGACATCCGCCTGGCGGCTCAGGAGGACCCAGCGCCTGCCAACGCCCCTCCAGGGCGCGTGTATGTACCCACCAGGGTCAGTGACCGCCTGCTGATCTGGGCGCACACCACCCTTATGGCAGGGCACTCCGGTATGACACGCACCCTACATTCTCCCTCACAAAAATACTGGTGGCCCACCTTGGCTACTAATGCTCCCTCTATATCAACTACTGTTCCGTATGTGCCCAAACGAAGAGACCTCGGAACGCCCCGACAGGCAAACTAGTTCCTCTCCCAGTGCCTCAGTGACCTTGGTCACACCTGTCCATAGACTTTGTCATCGACCTCCCACGTTCTGACGGCTTCACCACAGTGCTGGTGGTCGTAGGTCGGTTCTCCAAATCATGCTGTTTTTGCCACTAACTGGTCTTCCTTCTGCTCTCCAGGTCGCTGAGGTCCTGTTCCAACAGGTCTTCCAGCATTATGGACTTCCAGAGGACATAGTCTCGGACCGTGGCCCCAAATTCACCTCCCGAGTGTGGAAGGCTGGTTCCGTAGGGCCGGACAGGTCTGGGACACCGCCCATGTCCATCTCCAGAGGGCCATTCATCGGCAGAAGGACCATGCCAACCGCCACCGCAGTGAGGCCCTCGTATTCCAGCCTGGTGATCGTGTCTGGCTGTCCACAAAAATCCTCCCTCTCCGCCTGCCCTGCAAGAAACTGAGCCTCCGGTTTGTGGGGCCGTTTTAAGGTCCTCCGGTGGATAAATGAGGTATCGTACCGGCTGCTCCTTCCCCCTCACTACCGTGCCTCACCCACTTTTCATGTGTCTCTCCTCAGGCCGGTGGTTCCTGGTCCTCTGGCGGATGCTGTCCCCCGGGGTACTCCCCCTCCGCCCTTGGACATTGACGGGAGTCCAGCGTATGCGGTGAGGGACCTGCTGGACTCCAGGTTCCGTCGGCGACGGCTCTGTTACCTGGTGGACTGGGAGGGGTATGGTTCTGAGGAGAGGAGCTGAGTTCCGGCTGGGGACGTTCTGGACCCCAACCTAATTCGGGACTTTCGCCGCCTCGGCAACTTGAAGCTTTCCACCTTCTCCACTGCGGTCCCATCAATGTGGATAGGGGGGTGCACCCTCTGCTGTTTCCTGAAGTCCACGATCATCTCCTTTGTTTTGTTGACATTGAGTGAGAGGTTATTTTCCTGGCACCACACTCCCAGAGCCCTCACCTCCTCTCTGTAGGCTGTCTCGTCATTGATGGTAATCAAGCCTACTACTGTTGTGTCGTCTGCAAACTCGATGATTGAGTTGGAGGCGTGCTTGGCCACGCAGTCATGTGTGAACAGGGAGTACAGGAGGGGGCTGAGCACGCACCCTTGTGGGGCCCCAGTGTTGAGGATCAGGAGGTGTTGTTTCCTAACTTTACAACCTGGGGGCGGCCCGTCAGGAAGTCCAGGACCCAGTTGCACAGGGCGGGGTTCAGACCCAGGGCCTCGAGCTTAATGATGAGCTTGGAGGATATTATGGTGTTGAATGCTGAGCTATAGTCAATGAACAGCATTCTTACTTAGGTATTCCTCTTGTCCAGATGAGATAGGGCAGTGTGCAGTGTGATGGCGATTGCATCGTCTGTGGATCTATTGGGGCGGTAAGCAAATTGAAGTGGGTCTAGGGTGACAGGTAAGGTAGAGGTGATATAATCCTTGACTAGTCTCTCAAAGCACTTCATGATGACAGAGGTGAGTGCTACGGGGCGATAGTCATTTAGTTCAGTTACCTTTGCTTTCTTGGGTACAGGAACAATAGTGGCCATCTTGAAGCATGTGGGGACAGCAGACTGGGATAGGTAGAGATTGAATATGTTCGTAAACACATCAGCCAGCTGGTCTGCGCATGCTCTGAGTCTAATACATCCACAGTGGGATTTCAACAGCTTTTTCTGTTTATTGTCATAATAAGGAATTATTGTATTTAATTTTTAATTATGTAACAACATTCCAACTTTGTTTATCATTATCTTGTTCAAATATGGCACAATTCCACTATTTGTATCCGTTTGCATCACCTTCAATGAGGGACTTTTATTTTGAAGGCAAACCACCAATTTCACTATTGTTGGTAATCATTAGTGTGGCTACTTTCACATAGGTAGTGACAAGCGGGTACCAGAGCCGCGTTCAGCGGGAGGACGGACACAACATTCGCAACGTTCAGAGAGGCATGTTTGTTCACATTATATATTTCTATCTGAATCTAATGAATCATGTCAGATCAATTCATCACATTTCTATCAACGTTCCAAAACGTTTTTGTACTGATGATGCCCAGGCGAACCCACTGAGCTTTTCGAGCGCCGCTCTTCCCATTGCTTGTCTGTCTGTAAAGCCTCCGCAAATGAAAACGTGTGGTGGGTGGGGTCGGCCCGGCCGAACCCGCCCATAACCGACCCCGCCCTGTTCCGTGTGCTGCAGAGAGGGGCTTCTCCACTACGCTTATCAGAAGAACGTGATACAATGCAGCGTAGGCTGTCATAAGCGCTGTTTTTCCTGCCTATCCTTGGACGAGATAGGCGGTGTATTCTCAGTGTTCATTTTACCAACAAGTTCATCTACGAACATCAGGCAAAATGGTAAGTCGAGTTTGAAGTGTTTTACTATGATTCGGTGAACCGGAGATTCTGTGTTGTCAGTGGGTAAAGAGTTAGTCCTTCTCCGTTGTCGGTGACCAGTTGAAATTAACCTGGCCGGGTGAAGCAGCCTCCGAACCGAAGATGGATGTTCCATCTGTGAGAACGGCATGACGACGTTTAGAAAACCGCGGCGGACAACGCGAAATGAATCTCAATTTGAGATAGTGATTTGAAAGCTTCCAATTTCTCAGAATAATTTCGTTTGAGGAATATGAGGGTTGTCTGAATCTACGCAGCGGTCATGTTGGTTTTTATCAAGTTAGCCATCTTTAGAGGTAAAGTCTGTCTTGTATAACTGGGCCGCTACATACAGTAACTAACTAGCTATCACCCGCAGTGCTTTTGGAAGGACAGGACTTTGTGGTGTTTTTGACCACGGTAACTTTAGTCACTGTTCACAAGTGTCATTGCATCGGTATTCAAAACAGTTGGTAACGGTAACTAACGTTAACTGTGTCCCGTGTCTAATTGTAAATGTATAACGTACGTTAGCTAGCACATAATGTTCAAGTTTTGTAAATTGGCCACCTAGCAGTAAAACGTCAGTTATTTGGTCAAAGGTGGCATGTAGGTCATGACTTTGTTTTAGATACATTGGCTAGCTACGGGTATGTGCTGGATTGCTAAAAGGTAAGCCAGCAAGTGATGCAGTTGTGCACAATTGTCAATTCCCTGTAGTGCTTCACGACTTATATTATAGTAGGCTGGACACATGAAATGTTAACGTTTTCTGATTAAAATGAGTTTATTGCATCCGCCATGGAGCCCAGTTTCATAAAACCGTATGTCCCAGCTCCTTGCCGTAGTTTTGAAGTAATCGTGAAAAAACAGACCTAATTTTAGGGAATGTTTCACCCTCCCATCTATTAGCACCAACTCGCCTTCCGAACGTTCTAATGCCAACCAATTGTTCTGCGTCACAATGCCAGCTTCGCTATTGTTAGCAATTTAAATGTTTAGTTATTTAGCAGACGCTCTTATCCAGAGCGATTTACAGTTAGTGAGTGCATACATTTTTTCATACTGGTCCCCAGTGGGAATCGAACCCACAACCCTGGCGTTGCAAGCGCTAACCTCTACCAACTGAGATACACGGGACTACAATGAGATCTACCCGCGTAAACCTTGTAGCATAGGAGGTTGGTGGCACCTTCATTGGGGAGAACGGGCTCGTGGTAATGGCTGGAGCGCAATTGGTGGAATTGGATCAAATGCATTAAACACATGGGTTCCATGCGTTTGAATGCCATTCCATTCGCTCCTTTCCAGTCATTATGAGCCAACTCCCGAGTGGCGCAGTGGTCTAAGGCACTGCATCGCAGTGCTAGCTGTGCCACTAGAGATCCAGGCTCTGTCGTAGCAGGCCGCGACCGGGAGACCCATGGGGCAGCGCACAATTGGCCCAGCGTTGTCCAGGGTAGGGAATGGCCGGCAGGGATGTAGCTCAGTTGGTAGAGCATGCCGTTTGCAATGCCAGGGTTGTGGGTTTGTTTCCCACGGGGGGGCCAGTATTAAAATGTATGCACTCACTAACTGTAAGTCGCTCTGGATAAGAGCGTCTGCTAAATGACTAAAATGTAAATGTAAAATGTCCTCCCCTCTGCAGCCTCCACTGCCTTGTAGGCTTCAAATCAAATTGTATTTGTCACATGCGCGGAATACAACAGGTGTAGACCTTACCGTGAAATGCTTACTTACAAGCCCTTAACCAACAATGCAGTTCAAGAAATAAGAGGTGAAGAAAATATTTACTAAATAAAATAACAATAACGAGGCTATATACAGGGGGTACCAGTACCGAGTCAATGTGCGGGGATACATGTTAGTCGAGGTAATTTGTACATGTAGGTAGGGGTAAAGTGACTGTGCATAGATAATAAACAGCAAGTAGCAGCAGTGTAAAAACAAAGGGGGGGTCAATGTAAATAGTCCGGGTGGCCATTTGATTAATTGTTCAGCAGTCTTATGGCTTGGGGGTAGAAGCTGTTAAGGAGCCATTTGGACCTAAACTTGGCGCTCCGGTACCGCTTGCAGTGCGGTAGGAGAGAGAATAGTATGACTTGGGTTACTGGAGTCTTTGACAATTTTTTGGGCCTTCCTCTGACACCGCCTAGTATATAGGTCCTGGATGGCAGGAAGCTTGGCCACAGTGGTGTACTGGGCCGTAAGCACTACCCTCTGTAGCGCCTTACGGTCGGATGCCGAGCAGTTGCCATACCAGGCGGTGATGCAACTGGTCAGGATGCTCTCGATGGTGCAGCTGTAGAATTTTTTGAGGATCTGAGGACCCATGCCAAATCTTACCTCAGGTAACTTAAAGTGGAACTGACAGTGTTTTAACTACTTTTCAGATATGAAACAGACAATCATAATATTAGTCAAAAATATCAAATTCCCAGTTTATGCTTGAAAACCAACTTTATAAGAGGTTTTAAAAATAGGTTCTATTTGACTCAAAATGCCATGACGTACAGTAAGGCATTGTTGGCAGAATAGATGGATGCAGTTCAATGCATGATTAATATAATTCACCAATACATTTCTTGGTAGTCCAAAAAATATTGCTATCAGGTTATAAATCACAGCTGGCCTGGTACATCGTTTGCTGCCTTCACCCATTCGGCATGCACCGTTTGTTTCAATGACTCAATATTTTGAACAAAAACAGACAACTAACTAGGTTGGGAATGTCAATACAATCAAACTAGCAAGGGCAATGATCACAAGTCTGTCATAACGTGGCTAATATGCTAGCGCGCGTGTCAAACACAAGGCCTGCGGGCTCACTAGGACACAGAAGCGAGTATAAATGAGTTAACAGTTGTCATCTAATTACAGCCTGATGCGCTCACATTGGTGAATTCAACTTCAATTGTGCTGCTTCCGTGTGTCCCGTTTACAGCGCGCAGCAGAAGGAAAGTGTACAGACACATGTCACAGTCCTAGCAAGGCTACTAAAATGTTGCAGTCTGGCTTTGGTTTTTAAAGCTTGACAATGAATAACCAAAAAACAACAACCTGCAACAAAACACCATGCAACTTAGAAACATGCAAGCCTATTACAGCAACATTTGAGCAGTAGCCTAGGTTGGCTACTCAATTACAATACATTTTGAGTGCACCATACAGCAATGCTGCATTCAACCGCACCGGTGATCAATGTGCATAAATTTTTTTACAACCTATAGCTATGTTTTTGTTCTTTGGAGTTAAATACTTTTTGATTAGGTTCACAGTATATTATGCACATCTGCAAGCATAGCACCAAAGCCTGGACAAATATTATTTATCTTGTTTTTTTATGTTAAAATGCTATATATAGCATCCTATGTACATAAGTGGACATTATAAAGGGCTATATATTTTTTCCAATAAAACAATGGCCACCGAAGTAATTGTTTTTTCAGTATGGCCCGTGCGCATGTTCCCATTCAGTTGTGAAAACATGGGTTGGGGCAAGCTGCAGAAAGACGAGCAGGCAACTATTTCCCATCGTTTATCAGTGCAATTTTGACGGCCAACTAGCTGAAAAAGTTTGAGGGTTGCCTCGCAATATTTTTTATAGCTCATCTCGCTCTGGCTAGCATTAGTTGTTGATCTTGTTGATGTGTATAAGAAAGGGAGGGGGAGAGAGCCTACCTTTTCATGGTTGTTTGATCAATAGGACTGTGACGTTCCCAAATGTAAGAGGAATCCCTTGGTATTTACATATTTGCACAAATCCATTCAGGTGTTTATTGTGGCTTTTGGCGAATGTGTTCCAATGATCTAAAGTCTAGTCTAGATGTTTTTATTTATTTACTGCAGTGTCTATTAATTGTCCGAACACACGGCCGCTTTCCCGCTCTATATTGCTATAGAATTTGTACAGATGCCTTACTATATGTAATTCCCCAAAAATCTTATGACAACTTGAAAATGACCATATGTACACTGCATTTGGGAAGTATTCAGACCCCTTGACTTTTTCCACATTTTGGTACATTACAGCCTTATTCTAAAATGGATTACATTTTCCATTTTAGTCTCTTGTGGTATGTCTCTATAGAGTCTATAAGCTTGGCACATACAGGCACTGGGATTTTTGCCCATTCTTCAAGGCAAAACTGCTCCAGCTCCTTCAAGTTGGATGGGTTCCGCTGGTGTACAGCAATCTTTATGTCATACCACAGATTGTCAATTGGATTGAGATCTGGGCTTTGACAAGGCCATTACAATACATTTAAATGTTTCCCCTTAAACCATTCAAGTTGTTTTAGCTGTATGGTTAGGGTCATTGTCCTGCTGGAAGGTGAACCTCCGTCCCAGTCTCAAATCTCTGGAAGACTGAAACAGGTTTCCCTCAAGAATTTCCCTGTATTTAGCGCCATCCATCATTCCTTCAATTCTGACCAGTTTCCCAGTCCCTGCCGATGGGGGGGAAAAAACATGGTGTTCTCGGGGTGATGAGAGATGTTGGGTTTGCGCCAGACATAGCGTTTTCCTTGATGGCCAAAAAGCTCAATTTGAGTCTCATCTGACCAGAGTACCTTCTTCCATATGTTTGGGGAGTCTCCCACATGCCTTTTGGCGAACACCAAACGTGTTTGCTTATTTTTTTTCTTTAAGCAATGGCTTTTTTTCTGGCAACTGTTCCGTAAAGCCAAGCTCTGTGGAGTGTACGGCTTAAAGCAGTCCTATGGACAGATACTCCAATCTCCGCTGTGGTGCTTTGCAGCTCCTTCAGGGTTATCTTTGGTCGCTTTGTTGCCTCTGATTAATGCCCTCCTTGCCTGGTCTGTGAGTTTTGGTGGGAGGCCCTCTCTTGGCAGGTTTGTTGTGGTGCTATATTCTTTCCATTTTTAATAATGGATTTAATGGTGCTCCGTGGGATGTTCAAAGTTTCGGATATTTTTTTTATAACCCAACCCTGATCTGTACTTCTCCACAACTTTGTCCCTGACCTGTTTGGAGAGCTTCTTGGTCTTCATGGTGCCGCTTGCTTGGTGGTGCTTCTTGATAAGTGGTGTTGCAGACTCTGGGGCCTTTCAGAACTGGTGTGTGTGTTTTATTTATTTATTTATTTATTTATATATATATATATATATATATATATATATATATATATATATATATATATATATATATATATATTCAGATCATGTGACACTTAGATTGCACACAGGTGGACTTTATTTAACTAAATATGTGACTTCTGAAGGTAATTGGTTGCACCAGATCTTATTTAGGGACTTCATAGCAAAGGGGGTGAATACATATGCACGCACCACTTTTCAGTTATTTATTTTTTAGAATTTTGTTAAACAAGTTATTTGTTTCACTTCACCAATTTTGACCATGTCCATTACATGAAATCCAAATAAAAATCAATTTAAAGTACAGGTTGTAATGCAACAAAATAGGATAAACTCCAAGTGGGATGAATATGTTTGCAAGGCACTGTACCCCATAATGACAAAGCAAAAACTAGTTTTTTGAAATCTTTGGAAATGTATTAATCTTTTTTTTTAAACTATCACATTTACATAAGTATTCAGACTCTTTACTCAGTACTTTGTTGAAGCACCCTTGGCAGCGATTACAGCCTCGTCTTCTTAGGTATGACGCTACAAGCTTGGCACACTAGTATTTGGGGAGTTTCTCTGCAGATCCTCTCAAGCTCTGTTAGGTTTGACGGGGAGTGTCACTGCACAGCTATTTTCAGGTCACTCCAGAGATATTCGATTGGGTACAAGTCCGGGCTCTGGCTGGGCCACTCGAGAACATTCAGAGACTTGTCCCGAAGCCACTCCTGCGTTGTCTTGGCTTTGTGCTTAGGGTCGTTCTCCTGTTGGAAGGTGAACCTTTGCTGCAGTCTGAGGTCCTGAGCGCTCTGGAGCAGGTTTTTCATTAAGGATCTCTCTGTCCTTTGCTCCGTTCATCTTTCCCTCGATCCTCACTAGTTTCCTAGTCCCTGCCGCTGAAAAACATCCCCACAGCATGATGCTGCCACCGCCATGCTTCACCGTAGGGATGGTGGCAGGTTTCCTCCAGATGTGATTCTTGGCATTCAGGCCAAAGAGTTCAGTCTTGGTTTAATCAGACCAGAGAATCTTGTTTCTCGTGGTCTAAGAGTCGTTTAGGTGCCTTTTGGCAAACTCCAAGTGGGCTGTCATGTGCCTTTTACTGAGGAATGGCTTCCATCTGGCCACTCTACCATAAAGGCCTGATTGGTGGAGTGCTGCAGAGATGGTTGTCCTTCTGGAAGGTTCTCCCATCTCCACAGAGGAACTCTGAAGCTCTGTCAGAGTGACCATCAGGTTCTTGGTCACGTCTCTGACCAAAGCCCTTCTCCCCCGATTGCTCAGTTTGTCTGGGCGGCTAGCTCTTGGAAGAGTCTTGGTTGTTCCAAACTTCTTCCAGTTAAGAATGATGGAGGCCACTGCGTTCCTGGCTGCAGACTATTTTTGATACCCTTCCCCAGATCTGTGCCTCGACACAATCCTGTCTCTGAACTCTACGGACAATTCCTTCGACCTCATGGCTTGGTTTTTGCTCTGACATGCACTGTGAACTGTGTGACCTTCTATATAGACAGGTGTGTGCCTTTTCCAAATCATGTCCAATCAATTGAATTTACCACAGGTGGACTCCAATCAAGTTGTAGAAATCTCAAGGGTCTGAATACTTATGTAAATAAGTTATTCCTGTTTTTTTATTTGTAAATGCAGACATTTCTAAACCTGTTCACTTTGCCATTATGGGGTATTGTGTGTAGATTGAGGACATTTTTTAAATTCATTTTAGAATAAGGCTAACGCTAACAAAATGTGGAAAAAGTCAAGTGGTCTGAATATTTTCCAAATGCAATCAGCGCTCGTGCGTCAGAAAATGTAAAAAAAAAAAAAAAAAAAAAGTGTAATTCTTCTTGTGGGTGTATATGAACAGATTTTAAGAATTTCCTGTTGCTAAAATGCTGTCAGTTCTACTTTAATATTAACATTTTTACGGCTACTTGGTGAGTGATATCACATTGTGGTGACCCATGGTGCCAGAGATGGCTGGCACCTACCCATCAAAAGTTAAACATTTTCTGGTCATAGTTAATCATATTTATTCCGAAAAAGGTGTAAAACCTCAACAAAACGGGTGTCCCTGTCATCATCTTCAAGATGTGGCCAATTTTAAACTGCCATAATTTTTTTCATTAAGAAATAAAATAAATTGACACTTTTTGTTGTTTTTAAATGGCAGCGTTGTAATTTGATATGCGTCAATCTGTTCGTTCATAGGCATCGAATTGAGTGTGTTGCGCAGGTTCACTGAGTTGCAAACCAACTGGCTGGGTCTAGCTCATTGATTTGTAGATCTGATGACTTGCTACCTCAGATTATGAGCCCAGCGAGTGTCGTGAATGAGGTATGTAGTACCCGCAAATGGCCACAGGGAGGAACTAGAGCTAGAGCTATAAACCATAGTTTTTTTTGCCAGAAAACCTCAACTTAACCCTAGGTAAACCCCTTAGTTATGTAGAACTTATTTTAGCCTTAACTCTAACCCTGTACAGACAGTAACCTTAGCCATAACCCTAATTCTAGGGTTTAGTAATAATATTATTCTAGTAAATACTAGTATTAAATAGGATTTATTGTTTTATAAAAACCTGTAAGTATTCGTTGTTTTTTTTAAATGATGGTATTTATTATTGCAAGGCAAAACACCTGATAAACAAGCCACTTTAAAAAATATATTTTTTTGCATGTGATTTAAACTGGGTGTGACCTAGTAACCTCTGAAAGTCCAGCAATTGGTGTAGGATAGGTGGGGCAGGGTCCTTCCGAGTGGCACAGAGGTCTAAGGCACTGCATCGCAGCGCTTGAGGCGTCACTACAGACCCGGCAGATTTGAAACTGATCGCTGGAATTAATACGAAAAATCTACTTTATTTCTATGTTGCCTCTCCATTGTCTTTACGGTCTGCTGTAAATTAATTGCTAAATATTACCAATAGATGGCAGCATAAGACCACAAGGCATCAGTTCTAGGCTACAAGCAGCGATATGATTGGCATAAAATAGCATAAGACCAAAGACTGTCCCATGATTTTTCTAAAAAGTTAACTCATTACTTTACAGTTAGCTGCTTGAAAGTATGTGAACCTCTTGTGCAATTACGGTTTTTTTCCTTTTGTTTTTTTTTAACCATGAAATCTTCATTTAAATCATAACCAGTCTTTTTGATCTGACATAACAGGTTTATATTTACCAATACCATATGTTGGTGTAGAGGAAATCATACATGTTATAGAATATAACATTTTTAAAAAAAGGTTTTAGTGCAGGTGCTAAAATAAGTGAACCCCAAGTTGCATTGGTTAAATCAGGTAGGTAAGTAGAATCAGGTGGGTAAATAATTAGCTACCAAATGAACCAATCAAAGGAGAGATCATTAGGAAAGAGTTTGGGTGGGACTCTGATAAGTAGAGATAAGAAACCTGGTCAGTTTGGTGTTACCCATCCAGGTGAATGCAAAGCGCACCATGCAGAGAGGAAAGGAGAGCTCAGAGGACATCAGGACGAGGGTAGTGAAAGCACATCAGTCTGGGGAGGGCTATAAAATCATCTCAAAAAGATTTGAGCTCAATCAGTCCACTGAGGCAAATAATTTACAAATGGAGAGCATTTAACATGACAGCAACTCGGCCTGGATGTGGACGCCCTTCCAAAATATCAATAATAAATCCGGTAAAAGCCAACCCAAACATAACATCTAGAGATTTGCAGACCTCCCTTGCTGCATCTCAGGTAACTGTGCATGCTTCAACAATAAGAACACTGAATCTAAATGCCATTCATGGGAGGGTTGCGAGGAGGAAGCCTCTGCTGTCAAAAAAGAACCAAGCTGCCAGTCTAAACTTTGCCAGGGACCACCTGGACAAACCTGAAGGTTTCTGGAAGTCCATTCTCTGGACCGATGAGTTCAAAATGGACCTTTATGGTCACAATAAACACCGCTATTTTTGGCGAAAACCCAACACTGCCTACCACCAAAATAACCTTATCCCAACAGTCAAGCATGGTGGTGGGAATGTCAAGATCTGGGGCTGCTTTTCCTCCTCTGGACCTGGACGACTCCACATCATTAAGGGAACCATGAATTCTGAGGTATGCCAGGAGATTCTTGAACAGAACGTCAGGGAGCTAAAGCTGTGCCGAAAATGGTTCTTCCAACAAGACAACGACCCAAAGCATTCAAGCAAATCTACCAAAGAATGGCTCAGGAGAAAGAAGATTTGTGTTTTGGATTGTCCTGACCTAAATCCAATCGAAATTTCACTTTCTGCGTTGCCTTTTAATTGTTGTTTTGGGGGGGTTTAGACCAGGGTTGCTGCTGTTAAGAAATGTCAAATGCATATGCACAGTACAAATAAAAAAGTGAATCTTAACGTCCACTCATTTTCACTTAGGGTGAATTTACATTAGTAAAATATGTCTAGTGAGATCAAAAATTTTTTAAGCCTTTCATTTTCTATTTGGCTAACAGAGCAAAAATGCTGTCTACTGGTATTAAGGTCATTCTTCCAGGGACATTTGATGTGGGAGAGCAATTGTCTTTACACTACTCCTCAGACGAGGGTGTGTGGTGAAGATATCTCCCACATTACCTCTGGAGGTAGTGTGGGAGACCTCTCTTAAAGAGATTTGAATCTAGATCTGTGTCTTTACACTACGCAAGTATCTCTCCTGGATGTAGTTTGTGTCATGAAATTAGTGTAAATAGTCCCGTAGTCATGCATGTCAATGGGAGACTAAGTGAGCATTTGACATAAGTGAGTTAGGGTTCGCCCCCAAATGAATTAATTGACCCTTTTATTTAGCCAGGCTAGTCATCAAGACGAGAACATATTATTTTACAATAATGTCCTGATTGATTTGATCTTTGCTCTTCAGGTGAACTTTACAGTGGACCAGATCCGTGCGATCATGGACAAGAAGTCCAACATCCGTAACATGTCTGTGATCGCTCACGTGGATCACGGCAAGTCCACGCTGACGGACTCCCTGGTGTCTAAAGCTGGGATCATCGCGGGGTCTCGCGCCGGAGAGACCCGCTTCACAGACACACGCAAAGACGAGCAGGAGCGCTGTATTACCATCAAGTCCACGTAAGTAGTACAGTTCATGTAGTCCGTCCCAGTTTGGGCCCGTTTGCCTCTGTTTCATTTGTAGTGAATAGATTTTACATTTTAGTCATTTAGCAGACGTTCTTATCCAGAGCGACTCACAGTTAGTGAGTGCATGCATTTTTTTTCTTCATACTGGTCCCCCGTGGGAACCGAACCCACAACCCTGGCGTTGCAAGCGCCATGCTCTACCAACTGAGCTACACGGGAATACAACCCAGGAGTGTGTGTTTGGATCTTTCGTCTACAGTATAGGAATTGGTAGGTTGGATGTTGCTGGGGGGGGGTCTCACTCTTACATAAAAAAAAAAGTACTTTATTTTAAAATCATTGACATTACGACCTGTTGGCCTTCATCTGAATAAATGTACATTATTTTAAAGTAATTTCTCGAACTTGAGAACCCCTTGACCTTTGACCAATTTTTACAGCCTGAATTTAAAATTGATTCAATTGAGATTGTCACTACACAATACCCCTTAATGTCGAAGTGGAATTGTGTTTTTAGAAATGTTTACAAATGAAAAGCTGAAATGTCTTGAGTCAAGAATTCAACCCTTTGTTATGGTAAGCCTAAATAGGTTCAGGAGTAAACATTTTCTTAGTAAGTTGCATGGACTCTGTGTGCAGTAGTGTTTAACATAATTTTTTTAATGACTACCTCATCTCTGTACCCCACACATAGAATTATCTGAAAGATCCCTCAGTCGAGCAGTGAATTTCAAACACAGATTCAACCACAAAGACCAGAGGTTTTCCAATGCCTAGCAAAAAATGGCACCTATTGGTAGATGGGTAAAATAAAAAGCAGACATTGAATATCCCTTTGAGCATGATGAAGTTATTAATTACACTTTGGATGGTGTATCAATACACCCAGTCACTACAAAGATCCAGGCATCCTTCCTAACTCCGTTGCTGGAGAGGAAGGAAACCGCTCAGGGATTTCACCATGAGGCCAATAAGTCAAATCAATAAGTGTATGGCTGAAAAAACAACCCTGCATATACTTATGCCTGAGCTGAAGATGCCAAATTAGAGGTAGAAAACTTTGGAGATTTGGATAACAAACAACAATGCAGGATAAGTTACAGTGCAGCTTGTTCAGTGCTGTTCTGTCGTTCCCCCTGCACACATCAACTAGTTTCCTACTATCCCTGTCTGTCTGCATCCCACGGCTGACAGGGACGCTTGGTTTCAGACACTATATAAAAGAAAGAATATATATAATTTAACAACAACGTTGGAACACCTACCATTCACCTATCCTCTCCCTCACTCCTCTCAGGGCCATCTCTATGTACTACGAGCTGGAGGAGAACGACATGGCCTTCATCAAGCAGACTAAAGATGGGCTTGGCTTCCTCATCAACCTGATCGACTCCCCGGGCCACGTGGACTTCTCCTCCGAGGTCACAGCCGCCCTCAGGGTCACAGACGGAGCGCTGGTGGTGGTCGACTGTGTCTCAGGTAGACTTTCTCCTGTCTTGGTTTCTCTCGCTCTCATTTCTCACTGGGAGATTCTCAATTGCAAATGACGTTTTACGGGGTGGAATCCCAAATGTAAACGTGTAAAGTAGTAAAAAGCATTTTAGCTAGTTGTGCGACATTTTATAGATAAAAGGATAGGTAGCATATCATTTTTAAATATGTGCGTACTTTACTCCTAAACAACAGCTGATTCAAAGGGGGTGTTGCAGATTTCAAAACTTTTCCACGAAAGGACTCTGGTAGGATATTCTTGTGATTCCTCGGCGATCGAGGAGGCGATCAAGGAGGTGAGGATACTTCCGTTCGCCTACTAACTAATTTTCCTTTTCTGAATTGGATTTGCTCAACTCCTGCGTCCTCTCTCGCCTCCTTTTGAAAAAAAGTCAAAGGTAGTCGAGGCAGCGAGGAGAGAGAACGTGGACGAAAATGCGCTTGTATGAAATGAATCTCCTTCCCCACTCGCGCGTCGTAAGCCAAATTACTTTTACAGGGGTGGATCCCAAAATAAATTAGTAAAGTGATAAAAACGAATTAAGACATTTTATAGATAAATGGATAAGTAGCTTATTGTTTTTTAACGTGCACACATTACTTCTCCGACAAAACAAAAGCCGATTCAAAACTATTCCGCAAAGGACTCTGGTAGGATATTATGGCCCTTTAAAATCCATGTCGCATAGAACACGGATGGAATCACTGAATCCAGACATTAAAACGGAATTCAACAATATTCCAAAATATATTGAACTAGTAAGAAATCAACTAAATGTTGAATTTAGAATATACATTAATTTGCCCAAGATTATCAAAATGCATCAGTGATTCATATTTTCCTTCAACTTTCTGAAGAGGCAATGGCACAGGAATGCCCCTGTCTGTGTGCGCGTGTTTGTCTACCACTTTGTGTAGCCGTTAGCGACGATGCTAATGTAATGACGACGTCTTCTGGTAGATGGAGAGGTTCCCAAAAACCTTCACAATTAGCTGTTAACTACAAAGTAGTTTATGCCTACCTTGCAGAATATCATGATTTGCATCATTCCAGTAGCCATTAGTTTTGCAAACTTTGCAATCACATGAGCGCTACAGAAACATCGCTAACGCCCCCCAAAAACAGGCTGGTGCACAGTTGAATGAAAGGGTAATAACTACACCCCAAAATCCAAATGTCTTAGATTTTCCCAGACCTCAAGTGGTCTCCAAATGTGGTTTAAGCATTGTGGACATTAAATGTTGTTGTTTTTCTATTATATATATATATATCACAAACTGAATGGCGGAAACCTGTTAAAACAAAAGTGAGAATGGGATTTGGGGAACAAATAACCTATTCTATAGGGCCCTAGGATACACATGACTATCCTTGATGAAAGGTGGCTATCGAGGAGGGGAGGACACGTCAATTCGTTAGTAAGCGAACAGAAATCTCCTCGACCACTTATCTATCGGTTTCCGGGTTACGGAGGAGAGAGGGTGGAGGACGGACTTTTGCCCAAAAGAGTGTCCCATTGTCCTTTCTCAGTGTCCTTCTTTCTCGCTCAGGTCTTTCTCAATGTCCTTTCTCTTGCTTCCTCTCTCTCACTCTAACTCCTACTCTCACTCTCACTCATTGTCCCGGTCTCCTCTTTCTCTCAGTGCAGTCTTTCTTGCCCACTCAATTTCTGTCTTTGGATTTTAATATAACACCTTCATTCTCCCTCCCCTTTTCAGGTGTGTGTGTGCAGACAGAGACTGTGTTGAGGCAGGCCATTGCTGAGCGCATCAAGCCGGTGCTGATGATGAACAAGATGGACCGTGCCCTGCTGGAGCTGCAGCTGGAGCCGGAGGATCTGTTCCAGACCTTCCAGCGCATCGTGGAGAACGTCAACGTCATCATCGCCACCTATGGAGAGGACGAAGCAGGACCAATGGGCGCCATTATGGTGAGAGGGACACACACCTGACAAGCATAAATCTAAGTAGTGATCAGTTGGAGTGAATTCCTTCTAAATTCCAGCCATTTCAGGAGTGGAGTTGCACCGCTATGGAGGAAATCCATGTCCAGTTCAACTGAATGATTTAAATGGGACTTGTCCCCAAACTCTGACGTGATCAAAGGGAAACATGTTTGGCCTAAGACAACGACATGGTCCTCTTGTCGTCCCTCAGATTGACCCTGTGATCGGTACCGTAGGGTTTGGGTCTGGTCTCCACGGCTGGGCCTTCACCCTCAAGCAGTTTGCTGAGATGTACGTGGCCAAGTTTTCTGCCGGCAAAGACACACAGTTGGGACCAGCAGAGCGGTGTAAGAAGGTGGAGGACATGATGAAGAAGCTGTGGGGAGAGAGGTACGCTCACACACTCACGCATATATAAATACCACTACACACACATTGTACATGCATACACATTTACTTTACATACACACACTGTATGTACTTGCGTAGTACTCTCACACACACACACACACATACTGTACATGTGTAAACACACACACACACACACACACACAGAGGTGTAAGAAGATGGAGGACTTGATGAAGAATCTGTGGACAGACGGGTCTATGCATCCGACAGAGAATAGTGAGGCAAGAGCTACACAGGTATGCCCAGAGGTGGAAGAACACCATGTAGAAATTGCAGGTAGACTGGTACACACTTACTCTGATTGCATTCCAGATAGACATTCTCTGGTGTCTGTACAGATTGTCAGATCTATACAATGTCTTGAAGTGTAACATCTCAGGAATCACACGAATGTGATGAAGTAATCCTATAATTTCTACAGAGCTGCACTGAAAATGTGTATCTGGAATGCACTTTATCTCTCTCTCTGGGTGCACTTGATTTAGAACGCCTGTCGTGTTGGGTAGGTGTAGCTTGAACCTTAGGACCAATGAAATGGTTCCAAGGGGGACGATGCCGCCAACCCCGACACTTCGGACTGAATAAATTAAGTGTGCCTGTTCTCTCTCGCTTTCTCAATCACACGCACACAGGTGAGGGCGTGGCAATATTGAAAAGTGTTTGCAGGTATGTGACGTGACACGGGCAGCCCCCTATATGTACAGGGTTTTTCTCTGTATGGAGACCTGAGGAAGACCAAAGGGTTGAAGACAAAGTAAACACATTTGGGAGCCTAAATCGCAGGTGCGCACTCTTCTCTTATGCTGGCAAACAATCTGACATGTTGCAAAAATGTCCTGTTTTTGGCTGTTGACTTGTTACAGCTGATTGTATCGTACTGTATGTAAATGCTTGCGAGTTCCTGGCTGTCCTAGTGACATGAAATGTAGTTAACTGTTGCACTTGTCTTTTTTCTTGACTCTTAATAGCACTAATTTTGCAGATGGCAGCTATTTTTGAAGAAGGTTTTACTCAGCTTTGTTATCAAACAGGATCGAGGTCTGTGAAATTGAAGTCGGTTAATTCATGAAGTAAACTTCACTTCCTGAATAGAGACTTCAATTGGAATGGACCTCAACCATGCTTGGAACTTGAGTTGAATGCACTGAATGCACGTTTTGTTGAAATATGCACCGCTCTGGATAAGAGCGTCTGCTAAATGACTGAACTGTCAATGAGAATATTAAAGCGTGTGTTTTTTTTGTTTTATACAACTGGCAGGTTTTTTGACCCAGCCACTGGGAAGTTCAGTAAGACTGCCACTGGCCCCGACGGTAAGAAGCTGCCCCGCACCTTCTCTCAGCTCGTGCTGGACCCAATCTTCAAGGTGAGACCGGACATGACGCCCCTAAAGTGTTTTGATTCATTGATTTAATTTATGCAATGCATTGACCAATATTAATTTATAAATGTTTTTTTTTTAAAGGATGAAAAGCAACTGTCTGTCTACCCCTCCCCCGTTCTCCCTCCCTCCAGGTATTCGATGCCGTCATGAACTTCAAGAAGGAGGAGACGGCCAAGCTGATAGAGAAGCTGGACATCAAGCTGGACACAGAGGACAAGGAGAAGGAGGGCAAGCCCCTACTGAAGGCAGTAATGCGTCGCTGGCTCCCAGCCGGAGAGGCTCTGCTTCAGATGATCACCATCCACCTGCCCTCCCCCGTCACCGCCCAGAAGTACCGCTGTGAGCTGCTTTACGAGGGACCAGGAGACGACGAGGCCGCCATGGGTGAGGACAGGAGCACGTGCACACACCGAGACCCTGAACAACTGACTGGGGACAGATAAAAGTACACTGTGCCTGTCCATGTCAACCAGCAAAGGATGGCTTTCTGTCAGGAGGACAATGTAGACCCAACACGTTTCCTAATTAATATAAAGTCTAATATCATACTTACCGTTTTCCTCTCAGGTATCAAGAACTGCGACCCCAAGGCACCTCTGATGATGTACATCTCTAAAATGGTGCCCACCACAGATAAGGGTCGCTTCTACGCCTTCGGCCGTGTCTTCTCTGGCTGCGTTGCCACCGGCCTGAAGGTGCGCATCATGGGACCAAACTTCACCCCCGGGAAGAAGGAAGACCTTTACATCAAACCCATCCAGAGGTGTGTGTGTGTGTGTGTGTGTGTGGAGTACCATTTAGAGCGGCAGATACGTGTGTGACTTCAAACTTTTAAGTATTGTATATTCTCTCCTCCCCTCAATCTGTTCTTCCTCCCTCCCTCCGTAGGACCATTCTGATGATGGGGCGTTACGTGGAGCCCATTGAGGATGTGCCATGTGGGAACATTGTTGGTCTGGTTGGAGTGGACCAGTATCTGATTAAGACAGGGACCATCACCACCTTTGAACAGGTGGCTTGTACATCTCATCACATTATACTATAGGAAATCTCTGAAGGCCACAATGACTTTTAATGACAAAGAAGGATTTTCCATTCAATTTATTTTGCACTCCTAGACTTTTGCTCTGGTCAAAAGTAGTGCACTATATAGGGAATAGGGTGCCATTTTGGATGAACAATAGATGAATATTTCTCACGTCATGTATGCTCGTCCAACAGGCCCACAACATGCGTGTGATGAAGTTCAGCGTTAGCCCTGTGGTGAGAGTGGCTGTGGAGGCCAAGAACCCTGCTGACCTGCCCAAGCTGGTGGAGGGCCTGAAGCGTCTGGCTAAGTCTGACCCCATGGTGCAGTGTATCATCGAGGAGTCTGGTGAGCACATCATCGCTGGAGCCGGAGAGCTCCATCTGGAGATCTGTCTCAAAGATCTGGAGGAGGACCACGCCGGCATTCCACTGAAGGTGAGGGAGGGGAAGGAACAGACTACGTATGAGATAAGGTGTTACTGAACAATGTGCTTTCTCCAAGTACAATACAATGGTACACTACATCGAGAAGGTGATTTGTTTTCCACTGCCTAACAAAGAGAATCTGCAATAGGAAGTGCGTGTCTTTACTCTGTAGACATTACAGGACATAGCAAGACTACCGTTATGGAAATATGTCTATGTAGACGAATGCACTGTCCTAACTAGGTATGGGCATGGTTATTCGAATATCCAAACGGACGTTAATATTCTAATACTTGCGAGAGTATAACTTTTTTGGGGAGGGGGGAAATCATAGGTCTATTTTAACAATAAAAAGGCTTTGTCTAAATAATTGTGACATTGCTACACACAAGGATATACCATGACATTTGAAAATCTTAATTCAATAAAATAAACGTTTGAATGTAGATTTTAGGACGTGTGCCCCATAAAAAAACATACCGTAGCCTCGGATTTAATGCGTTTGTTATCGTCGGCCAAACAAAGTGGCGCTGTCTATACACTCAGTGGCTCCATGGGTAGCAAGCAAAGTGGGAAATCTAATCAATTAAGTTAGTTAAATGAGAAGGAGTAGACTACAACGAGCAACCATCAGGTAGGCTGTTTAAAATGGAGTTGTAGACAAGGATGGGGAAGCGCAGAAAAATGGCCTCTGTAGCTAGCTAGCTGGCTAACATAACTGGCTAGCTTCTTTTAAATTGATTTGATGCAGTCAAGACGGGCACTACCAGATGGGACGATAGATAAGCTATCTGTATGGCTACTCTCGCTCTCATATCAAACTCATGAGCCACTGCCCATTCCCCGCACATCTGCAAGCAAGCAACGCGGCACCTCTTCCAAGTCGCGCAGGCTGGGCAGCAAGCCAGTTCCCAAGTTTAAACTTTTTAATTTTGGGGGGGACTATCTGGTTATCTGAAGAAATGTCAATATATTATTGGATCAGTGAAATTATTTAAAATGCCCATCCCTAGTCCTAACTTGATTCACAACTCCTCCCCCTAACAGAAATCAGACCCAGTGGTGTCCTACAGGGAAACTGTGTCTGAGGAGTCTGAAGTGATGTGCCTGTCGAAGTCCCCCAACAAGCACAACCGCCTGTACATGCGGGCGAAACCATTCCCCGACGGCCTGGCTGAGGACATCGAGAAGGGTGACGTCAGCCCCCGGCAGGAGCTCAAGATCCGCGCCCGCTTCCTGGCCGACAAGTACGAGTGGGACGTGTCGGAGGCCCGTAAGATCTGGTGCTTTGGCCCCGACGGCACCGGGCCCAACCTGCTGATGGACGTGACCAAGGGAGTCCAGTACCTGAATGAGATAAAGGACAGCGTGGTGGCCGGCTTCCAGTGGGCCGTCAAGGAGGTGGGTTTCGGTTTAGTTAGTTAAGCTTGACAACCAACTAAGGCACCGTCAATAATTTTCCTTGCCAAAGCTCATTGAAGCATTGCAGTTCAAATCTGCATTCATGACTTCAGTTTGTAAGTAGACTTGAATCTGCAGTTTAGGCCATGCCAAGATTGCATAGTATTTTTTTCTATCCTGAGTTGTGAAGTGTTGTTCCTTCTTCCCTCCTACAGGGTGTGCTGTGCGAGGAGAACATGCGTGCGATCCGCTTTGACATCCACGACGTGACCCTGCACACGGACGCCATTCACCGCGGTGGCGGACAGATCATCCCTACCGCCCGCAGAGTGCTGTACGCCTGCCAGCTCACTGCCCAGCCACGAATCATGGAGCCTGTCTACCTGGTCGAAATCCAGGTGTGTGTGCATACGTACGGTGTGCGACTACTTTGACACTTGAACTCGACCACTCTTACATTAAATTGTATGCTAGGCTATTGGGGGTTATTTGGAATCAAGTGTCGGAGCCATGTATTTCCTGTTTCCTGTCTCTGCAGTGCCCAGAGCAGGTAGTGGGCGGGATCTACGGCGTGCTGAACAGGAAGCGAGGTCACGTGTTCGAGGAGTCCCAAGTGATGGGCACGCCCATGTTCATCGTCAAGGCCTACCTGCCTGTCAACGAGTCATTTGGTGAGTGAGAGTTAACTTTATCTGGGGCTTACCAGGGAAAATTTGAATTTCAGTTTACTTGACGGAATTGAAATGGAACTGACCCCAACCCTGTGTAGAACATTTATTCTTATTTGATGGGTAATGTAAACTGTAATGTATAGAGTTGACCCATTTGCCTTGACACAACCTTCTGAACATTTCACTGTTAACTCTCAAGCTACCAACTTACTTTACATACAACGATTACCAACTGGGGTACCCCAAGACACTATTGGAATCACAGCAACATATCAACTTATTTACCATTACACCCCTAGTGCCTATATTGTACATACATCATAGACCCACATCATTTACACACACACACCAGGGTTTCCATTAACCAGTAATAGCCAACTTTTTTCAGATTAAAATAAATAGAAAAGCCGATAAATAAAATTGCCGCCGACCAATTTACCGGGAACAGAAGAAAAAATCCCATTGTAAAATAATACTTTTTAGCCTGTTCATTGATGGACATACCAGTCGACGTAAATACATTTGACTGGTCATGCTTATCGGTCAATAGATTAATTTGCATAATTTGGTGAAATTTAAATTGCCGCATGTACAGTATATATTATGTATCTTATTTATCACACGCATATAGATACCCAGCCGAGTGGAAAATCTGTCAGACCACGTATGAGCTGCTGCTGCAGCATTTTGTGGTGCTGATTAAGGCAACTGGGAACTCTGAAAAATACAAGGTCAAATCATGACGTTAGTGATCATCAGGTCGGAAAGTCGGAACTCTAGAAAGAGGCCAGAGTTCCCAAGTTGGAATTCCAAGTTGGATGACCGTACAAAAATATTTTTCCTGGTCGGAGCTAGTTTTTTCCCCCTGTTGTCTTGAACGCACTGAAGTCGGAAGTCAGATTTCCGAGTTCCCAGTTGTTTTGAACGCGGCATCAAACGACAACGGAAGGCAGGCTTCATCAGCGCGTCACACACCACTTGTTCAAAGTAGCCTATGAGATCTCCTGTCTTTCTAACTGATATTTTCATCTCTGTCACATGAAATCGCTTGCATGTGCAGTGCCCTTTTTGACAATGGTGTTTTCCCGCTAATTGCATTATGGAACGAACATCCGCGTGTAGCCGACTGCCTTGTGCGCATTGCTGCGCTTATAATGTGAAGAAATAATAGTTTATCAACATTTTAAGCTAAACGTCCTGATCTGTTGCATCAGACTCATTGCTTTTTCATTTTTTTTTGGGGGGGGGGGGGGGGGGGGGTGTAGTCTAGGCCTACTGGTTGTGTGAATTTGGGATCAACTGTCCCATAGTCTGTTTGGAATAGGCTTTCTTTCTTGACAAGCTGACCAATAGAATAGGTAGCCTACATTTTTCTACTGTAGTAGATTGACATAGGCTACTGATTTTGTTGTTTGTTGCTCGTCTTGTTGGCTGAGGAATAGTAAATGTGTAGTTATTCTAACGTGTTCAAAGTGCACATCAGAATTCGGCAAGAAGGACCGCACATTGTTACATCCTCGACTTGCATGTTCTGTTAATATTAATGACCCATATTCTAAATGTGATTTCTGTCATTTTGAGCACCGGTAAATTTCTCAAATGTCTGGTAAATTTAATGTTGCCGGTCAAATGTCCAGTGCCACATTTTCATAACGGAAACCCTGACACACACACTCTCTCACACACACACGTCAGCTCAGACAGATTAACTTCAGAGAGGCCCAGCTCCTGAGCTCCATCAGCAGCAGATTTTAATTTAGAATGGAAAATGAATGTGTTTATGCAACAAATGTTAGCGCATCGCATCGAACCGAGTCACATCGATTCGCTCTCTAATTACATTTTACATTTTAGTCATTTAGCAGACGCTCTTATCCAGAGCGACTTACAGTTAGTGAGTGCATACATTATATTTTTTCATTCCCGTGGGAATGGAACCCACAACCCTGGCGTTGCAAACGCCATGCTCTACCAACTGAGCTACATCCCTGCCGGCCATTCCCTCCCCTACCCTGGACGACGCTGGGCCAATTGTGCGCCGCCCCATGGGTCTCCCGGTCGCGGCCGGCTACGACAGAGCCTGGATTCGAACCAGGATCTCTAGTGGCACAGCTAGCACTGCGATGCAGTGCCTTAGACAACTGCGCCACTCGGGAGGACAAACCGAGTTGTTTAAAACTAAAACGTATTGTTCTTGTTCCGGAGCCCATGTATCGAATCATCTTGAAAAGGAAAGATGCACATCCCTAGCGTGTACATAAGGTGCTCCATCTCTGAAGGTGATCTGTCTATCTGGTCAAAATCACTGACGCGGGTCCCCCTTCATCCTCTATGTTAATCTTAATATTATGTTACCTCCTGTAGCTCAGTTGGTAGAGCATGGCACTTGCAACGCCAGGGTTGTGGGTTTGATTCCCACGGGGGGCCAGTATGGAAAATGTATGCACTCACTAACTGTAAGTCGCTCTGGATAAGAGCGTCTGCTAAATGACTAAAATGTAAAATAAACCTGGATTGAAATAAATACCTTTTTATTTATTTTTATTTGCCCTAGAATAACTACTTATCGGAGAATACACACACTGAATCTACATAGAGCTGTAATATATCTGAGTTCTGTATTGCAGTTCTATCAAGTATTTATACCATTGGCAGACTTTTATGCACAAAAATAAGCAAATTTTGGTTTCGTACACTTGTCATACGATATGTGGTATAGAAAACACAATCTTAGGCAAGTACACAGGGAACTTTATCTCTGCAGATCTGTCTATCTGGTCAACTGATACAGGTCTCCCTCCACCCTCTGGTAGTATGGATAACTTGTCTCCAGAGAAACCTAGATTAAAATAAAGGTAGTATTAATCAAATTACTATAGGTGGAATTAGGTATTTTTTTTAGCTGGGTCAAAATGACCCCAAATGATGTTTTTTGTAAGATTTTTTTGTTGTATTTTGTCCATATTGATACAAAAACACTAAACAATGAATTTAGTTTTGTTAAGAACAAGTTGATTGACAAGTGATGAAGAATTGAATTAACCACCTTCGGCTATGATCAAAAATATGCCTCTGGGGTCAAAATGACCCCAGTCGGTAGCTTGAGGGTTAAACGCACCTGGAGATGATCATTTCCTTCTGCAGGGTCTGTGTTTTCTAATTAGGACCCAGAGTTTCCCGGGTGTGTGGACCTGTTCAACTATACTTGTGGTGACTAGAAGTCCTGACAAGAATAGTAAACAAACAATAATTTGACCAACTGGGGACATTGTGTTAGTCCCCACACAAGGTCAAATGCTATTTCTAGGGGTTAGAATTAGGTTTAGGGTTGGGAGCTAGGGTTCGTTTTTGGGTTAAGGTAAGGAGTTAGGGTACGGGTTAGGGAAAATAGGATTTTGAATGGGACTGAATTGTGTGTCCCCACAAGGTTAGTTATACAAGACTGTGTTCAACCACTACTGGCAGATAGACCTCAAGCTTTAAACCTATTGTCTTCACCCCCCTCGCTCTCCTCTCCCAGGTTTCACAGCTGACCTGCGCTCCAACACGGGCGGCCAGGCCTTCCCCCAGTGTGTGTTTGACCATTGGCAGATCCTCCAGGGGGACCCCCAAGACCCTACCACCAAGACCGCCATTGTGGTGGCAGAGACCAGGAAACGCAAGGGGCTCAAAGAGGGCATCCCTGCCCTAGACAACTACCTGGACAAATTGTAAACGCTGGTTCTGAATCCCAAATGGGTCCCTAGCCACTATGACCCCCACTAGGCACTACATTTTAAAAGTTGTTGGCTAGGCATAAGCAATAAGCAAGATTTCCCCTAGCCTATCAGAGGGTAACGTGGAGCTATAAGTATATTGCTTATGGTATACCTATCCGTCTCTTTCCCATCTACACAGTGCCCAAGGGAATGGTCTAGGGGTTGGTTTGGAATTTAGTGGATGTCTGAACATTCCCCCCCCCCCCCTTAATTCCTTCTATTCCACCACCGTACGAGTGAGGGATGGGACTGTACTGATGCAGTGGCGCTTGCCTAAATGGAAACTTGGTGAAAACAAACCAAGGATAAAACAGTGTAAATCATAATAAAGATTGTACTTGGGGTGGACTTCTGTTCATTGGCGGTTGAATGGTGGTCTAACATTTGTATAAAAATATTACTTGTCAGTTGATTTGACTCGTAGAACAGTGATTCTCAAATGGTGGATCGGGACTGCCAGAGATTACGTTTGATAAATGGTATAATTTTGTTGCAACAAAAGTTAATGTCATATACAATCAATTACTTTATGGTGATTTCCATATCTTCACAGACACCCATGTTCATTAATTAGTGCTAGTCTATGCAGAACTGTTTGCACCATTTCTGGTTCACTGAATTCCTATACTTTATAGACTTTACATCTTGCATTGATGAACACATGATAAAGGCAAAGAAAGCAGCCTGAGACTTATTGTGTTGACAACTTTGGTTTCAGGAACAAAAAGGATTAAAGGGACAAACTGCCGCTGTTACATCCATTTTTTGACAACATTTTTTGACTTTATGTACCATATATTCTTCAAGAATCAAACTTATAAATATGCCTCATGAGCTTAGTTCAACTGTTGTACCCCATCAGAACCCAAAATAAGCTTGTTTACTCCCAATGGTTGTAAACAAACTATATAGCCTTAACATGGTTAAAACTATGGTTTTCATATCCTGGATGGTCATTCCTTGCATCCATAGCGGTCTGAATGAGTGGTCACATTTCTCCAGCCCTATCCCGCCGCTTTTTACTGAAACCGGCACAGCACGCTTTGTTTCTACGGCTGATCGAAGCTTTAACTAAGGGCTGGATTCAATCAGTTTCGTGGAAGAGCCGAGGTACATTGTGAAGGTAATTTCAGATTGAGCCGACCTATGCAGCATTAACCGTGAACGCAGTCTCCGCGACCAAAAGAACATTGCCTTTAATTGTCAATCGCGTTAAGCAGATCTTCATTTAGGGTAGGGACGTCCTAAGGATTTGGGTTAGCACTGACCGATTTGAATAGATCTCTTAAGGCCTCGTTTAAATCAATTCGAGTGTTAACTGCGGTATTAGCTGACAAATCAGTGAGCTCTTGTAACAAACTACTCCCGTATCCCTACCCCGTTAAAGTAAAAAATGGCAATAGAAAGTGTAGGGTCTCGATATAGAAATAATGTCAAGCGAAGGCATGTTTTCATGTTAATTTGAATGGGGAGATTTTTAGCTTCAGTCTAATAAGGCGTTGACAATAGAACATCGCGCATTCGAGTGTTTGAATTGTAACGCGGCTGCATGGGATATGAAATCTGGTGTGGATTCGTTGCATCCAATGGCAGTGTGCGATACGGTAACATGCTGACTAGCCCGGGTGCGCGCATGTTGATTTTGTCTATCCACGATCAGGACAGGCAGGATGAAATTTCAAAACGAACTCTGAACCAACTATATTAATTTGGGGACAGGTCGAAAATCATTAAACATTCATTGCAATTTAGCTAGCTTGCTGTTTCTACCTAATTTGTCCTGGGATATAAACAGTGGGTTGTTATTTTACCTGAAATGCACAAGGTCATCTACTCCAACAATTAATCCATATATAAAAGGGTAAACAGAGTTAGTTTCTAGTAATCTATCCTCCTTCAGTCTTCTTTGGACTTTATATGGCAGTTGGCAACCAGCTTTAAGGTGCATTACCACCACCAACTGGACTGGAGTGTGGACCTCAGTTCATCTTTCAATCACCCACGTGTGTATATGCTCCTAAAAACCAATGAGGAGATGGGAGAGGCGGGACTTGCAGCTCGTCAAGCGTCACAAATAGAACCATGTTATATTTTAGAGCCTGGCTACGCAGACATGCGCGAGCACTTTGAATGCAACGATTGAATAACGTACATTTATTTTGCAACGCTCGCGCACCATTTGACAGGTCTAAAACAGTTCCACCGCCAAAAACAACCACTATCCGGATGTCGGCTAACGCTGATCTGATAGAATCTAGCCCTAGGTTTATGTATAAGCACTTGTAAATCATTTAATGGCTAGAGTTGTTACAAAGCCTTACCAGGTGCTGAACATCCTGTATCCTTGTGTCTTCCACCTGATACAATCTGAATGAACATGGAAATAATTAAAGGGACAATCCCACAAACTTTTCAACGTCTTTTAATCCATTGTGAATTCAAACTACATTAATGTTAAATGCCAGTATAATATACAACCCATTAACTTCTGTTGTGAAAGGAAATACTTTTTCCACCTGGACATTTCAAGACAAGGCTGTTAAGATGAATAAGAGCTATTGTAAATCCATGTTGAAACAGGCAGAACAAACAAATCCAAAAGCTTTGTTTGAGTGCTGAATATCCTGGGAGAAGACATTTCATTATGGAGACCTGATGGTTGAAATGTCTTTATAAAATATCAGGTAGTGGAGAGTGCAGATATTTCCCCACGTTTTGTTAGTGTAATTCATAGATAGGACTCATCTTTATCTGTGCCATTATAGCGTCTATGACAGCCTCAATGGCGCTGCCCATGCTATCGCCATTTTGAAGTAGTCAATATTCTTCTTCACGATTGGCTGATCCCTCCTGATGATCCGGTTGGACATGACTCCAACAGGGTCACCAGGAAGGATCAGCCAATGAAGTTGGAAGTCCCACCCAGTTGACTACATTAAAAATGGTGGAAGCCCTCAAAGGCGCTACCCATGCTAATACAGCTTTTTGGCCACTAGTATCTATTGTGTAACTCCAGACTGTCACATGACCCTGTGCTGTGACTCCCCATTGGAGCTGGGAGAGACTGGGTTATTTCCATCACAACTCCAGTGTGGAATGGACAAAGAGGCCCAATTCCATTCCAGTCTCTTATTCCCTTCTGTGGTACAGATCTGAAGAGATAGGAAAAGTATAAGCTGGTGATTGCTCCCACCAGCCCTTCAATAGGCTGAGTAGAGAACTTCCACTACATTTATCCAGTCCATTCATATTTGTGCACCCTGAAGGTCAATGGGAAAGGTATAGGGACTGGAATGGAGCCAGTGAAGTATGGTGGGTCACTGATCAGCACTGACCTAAGAGATGGATCCTATTTGAACAAACCTTTCTGATTGGTAGTGTAACAGTCTGTACATACATTAGAGCCCCTGGATACATCTCATTCCTTCGTATGCTTTTGGCTACAGGCAGACAGGGGGTGGTACTTAAATACATGTCAAGCGTTCCTCCTTTTCCCATGCAAATAGTTCTGACCAGTTTAAGACTCTTCCCCGAGTCCATTCTGGGGCTTAACCCCAGGACTCTGGAAGCCAGAGTATGGAGGCCCAGTCCTCCCTTTCTCTCCCTCAGCAGACAAGATGATTGTCATAGTAACAGTTAAACAAGCTGACTCAGAATTTACTCCCCCCCTCCCCCAACATCAAACAGGCTCCTCTCCACAGTTGGTGGGTAACGGAAGGGGGAGTTGAGAGAAAGAAAAAGACCATGTTTGAATAGTTGACAAATGCCTTCTCCCAACCTCTGTGCCCTCACCACTGACAGGTCTGGCTGCGTGAAAGCAAGGCTTCCACTATACCACAGTACATTCAACAATCCACCAATCACCTACGATCAGATATACTGTACATCACCAAGGAAGGTCCACAGGGTGAAGATAGGTATTTGATACATATTCAAACAGGGCCAGAGTCTCTCAGCAGTCCCGTGATCCCCGAGCCCTCTGAGGTCGTAAGGTCAGGTCAGAGGGGACTATGTGTAAAAGATGACCTCGGGGATCTGTCCGTCCTCTACAGAGGTGCCGTTGTTGTTGCCCTGCAGCGTAGCAGAAGGTGAAGCAGGTCTTGATGCCGGTTGAGGACGACTCGTGGGTCACCTTACGCATGCCCTTGGTCCCGTAGTGAGAGTCAGGACCCTGAGAGAGAAAGGGAGGGAGTGAGAAATGAGAAAAGAGGGGAACAAGAGAGGGAGGGATGGAGATAGGAAGAGGACAGAGTGAAGGAAGAGGGAATAAAGAGAGGGATACCAAAAGCGTCACTGTGGTTACTCACATAGCCAGAACAGGACCACAGCTATCCAGTGAGGAAATAACACCATCAAAACCAGTAAAGGCTGTACCTTGAGTGTGGCGCAGGCTGTGTAGTTGACGTTGGGCAGGATCTCCACCGGCTCCTTGAACATGACTCTGAAGGTGTTGGACGAGCCGTCGCAGCTGAAGCCTGTGTCGTTCTGACCCAGCACTGTGTTACTGTCTGTATGAATGATCTGGGACGAGAGAGGGACACATTATAGAAACATCGTCTGAGTCCCAAATTGCACCTTATTCTCTTTATAGTGCACTACTATGGGCCCTGGTCAAAAGCAGTGCATTATAAAGGGATCAGGTTGCCATTTGGGACACAGACGTCACACATTCTGCCCCAACACACAGTTGACATACACGTATACACAGGAACATATATACTCTCTTCAATTATTTAGGAGAGACAAATATCTGAGAGGGAGGAGAAGGGAGTCTATTTGTTCCAATGTATTCGGTCTATACAAATTAAATGTGATTGATTGACTGATTTGGTTAGTTGAGGTGGACATTACCTGGATGTTGACTTGGTAGTCTGTGGGGCCGTGTATGGAGCCGTAGAGGCCAAAGCCCACCACAAAGATCCTCCTGTTCACTGAAAATCTGGGAGAGGAGGAGAGGATAGGTGAGGCTAGGAGGGATAGATGATGTCCTGAGGCAATATTTTTCTAATTAAATTAGTATCCCTGTGTGTGTGTATGCGTGGGTCATAGTTCAATTTGGGTCGGTGTGTTCTCACCGTATGCGGTCACTGGTTCCGCTGTAGCCCCAGCGGCTCTCCACCTGTCCGAAGCGTGTGATGCTGCACTCCTTCCCCCGGAGGCAGCAGCGAGGCCGGTCGATGAACTCTACGTGGGGCTTTGGGTTCACTGTGAAGTGAAGGAACAGACTCACCACCTCCCTGTCTGTCAGGATACTAGACTGGGCCGGCCCTGGTTGGAGACACACAGCGGGGAAAGGAGGACACGTCAGCGTGAGGTAGTGAGAAAGAGACATACACATAACTCCTGCAGGGGATGGCAAAGGTTCTGTATTCTGATAGTGCAAAAAATTACTAACAGTGTGTGTTACCTGCAGCAAACTCCTCGATAGTCATGAGTGGGAAGCGGATCAGGGCGAGGGCCTTGCCCAGGACCCTGCGTTTGTTCTCTGGGGTGGGCTGTAGCTGCTGCCGGTGGGCCTCTGCCTCTGCCCAGCGCACCGCCGCCACAAACAGACGCACCTCCCTCACCCCCAGAGTGTCCCTCTCCAGCACAGCCACCAATGTATCTGAAAGAGGATGTAGAAAGATGGAGGGAGTGGACAAGATGGAAAGAGAGAAGAGGATAAGAAGACAGAGAGAGGGGTAGAAGAGAAGGAAAGAAGGGATGACAAAGATAGAAGGGGAGAGAGAGTGAAAAGGAGGGAAAGAGAAGTCGTCATGATACACGGAAACATTGCCATGAGCATTTCAAGAATGCATTTCAATATGAAGAGTGAACTACAAAATCCAGAGTGAACTACAATACCCAGATCTATGTCAGTGAAGCCTTCAGCGGCGAGTGCATCTCCAGTGTTCTTATCGATGTTCTCTAGACACAGGCTGGCAAGCTGGGGCTCATCGAACAGTCGAGCCTGAAACACACACGGTTGTACATCGATCAGAGACTCACACACAGTAAACAGTAGTTTACTTACATAAACTGACCAAGAATCCATACGAATCCTGCTTTGGGACTGACGAGTGCTATTGTTTTGAGACAATCAGAGAGACTGTAGTGGAGTTATTTTGATACTGGGTCAGGCCACACAATCAGACACTGGTGATTGACTTGTTTTAGACACTGCACCCCAGACAGACATTACAGTAATACCTGAGTGAGCAGCATGAAGGCATTGTCTGCCCGCAGGTTCTTCTTGAGGAACTCCACACAGTGGGCCTCCAGGGCTGGCACTGCATACTTCTTAGCCGTGTACAGAGTGGTCATCACCGTCTCAGGCCCTATCTGGACCTCATCAGAGTACAGGAACCTGGAGGGGTACAAGATTAGATGACTGATAGCAGGGGACCTATACACTCAGTGGACTAACAGTCTTGTGGCACAAATGACCTGGGTTCAATACCAGGTCAGTGTAAGGCTGCATTCTGCATACTATATAATGCCAATACACTTTTTGTGCAAAACACTTTGGATGTGAGTATATCTGGCCTATTATGATAGGAACATCTCTAAACCAGAAGGCATTTCTTACTTCAGTAATGCCAGAAAGGCTGCAGGTTCGACATCTGGCAGCTCGATTTCCGTTGAGGTGGTCGCCATACCCCCGTTGAACATGGCATCGAAGACTGCGCTGCCCACAGCAAGAACGAATCTAACCAAAACAAAAAGCGAAAAGACGTCAAAACAATGCCTTTCACCACTATGCATCAAAGTCGCTTGGATTAACAAACACAAAACGAATTTCTGAACCTTCTACTAACCATCCTTTGTTGACAAACTATAGTTATAATAAGGGAAAGACACGTTCGTTCTTACCTGTGTGCGGGTATTCGCTGCACTCCCATACCTTTCCCCACCAGAAAATGAACGTCACTCAGAACCTCGTTATCGAACAGGAAAGCAAACCGTTCCTTTATGGTGCTTTTCGTCGCCTGCCAGTTGTACACGGGCTCCCGGTACACCAAAACAGCAGCGGCCGCTGGTGTTGACGATAACGAGGAATGGGTCGCTGGTATACTCGCAGCGGACGCATTCGATGCCGCAGTCGCTGTCATGTTCGTAGCGGAGGTCGCCATCTCTCCTGCCGAAGCGCTTTGAACTAGCGCTTGCTGATTCGCGTTATGTGGAATTCCAGCAACAACACCGGCGCTTTCACCTCCGCCAGGCCCCGACTGCGGGTTGGGGCGCCTTGCAGCCCCCTGAGCCCCTCCTGCCGCACCAGCAGGCCCGCCGTTGGACGTAGGCATTGAATAAGCACTGTTGCTGGGCTGACCATTTCCTAAAGGCCCTGGGCCTGATAAATTTAGGCAGGGAGGCCTGCCGCTGTTATCCCCGGCAGCCATCTTGAATCTGACAGATTGTGGGAGTTGCGTGACGTAGACAAACAAAACGGTCCTAACGCTAACCCTTACCTTCACCATTTTAAATGTAAACTTCAATGGGGGGGGGGGGAGACATCCCAAGGATCCCGGATAGCACGGACCTAAACAAAATGTGGTTATACGGAATACATATTAGAAACGTACTCATTCCTCCTACTCTATGTATTCCCTACAGGCGGGTGAAACAGAGGCTCCAGACAAGGTGCCCGTAGACACAGAATGTGGGGGGGAAATGTAAAACTGACCCTAGATTATCCAATATCTGGCATTATCCACTCTACAGCATTCTTTCTACCTTGAACTGCTAGTGGCGCGGCCGGTTTGGCCAATGTAGCGCCGCTGGGCCTGCCAGTAGCGCAGGCCGGGACAGAGGCTATATTCTGGGGTGGCCAATGATCTGAGGAGGGAGGGGGGTGTAATAATGTCATATTTACATTGGTGTAAAGTACTTAAGTAAAAATACTTGAAAGTAGTACTTAAGTCCTTTTTTTGGGTATCTGAACTTTACTGTTTATATTTTTGACTACTTTTACTTTTACTTTACCTAAAGAAAATTATGCCATACATTTTCCCTGACACTCAAAAGTACTCGTTACATTTGAATGGTTAGCAGGGCAGAAACATTGTCTAATCCACATACTTATCAAGAGAACATCCCTGGTCATCCCTACTGCCTCTGATCTGGCACCCCATCGAGAAAAATCATCAGAAATCACGCGATATGGATCAGACAGTGGGGCGCCGCCTGACCCACTAGTTGGTCAGAAGGTTCAAATAAACATTTCATATCGTAATTTCCGAGAAGGCAAAAAGCATCAATCACGGCTGTTATTACACCCCGTATATGTTGGTGGCGGTAATTACAATTTTATTGTGCTGGAACTAAAACTAGAAGAAGATCTTCTGACGTCCTTTCCTTTCGTCGAAGGTACGTAATTGCATTATTTTTTAAATCTGATTTACAAAGCTAATGTAATGGCCAATGCTTACACCATTCATATAACCAGGAACCAATATCCAAAGTGGGTACTCTTTTCATATGATATGCCTACATTTAAAATGCATATGAGGGGGTACTTTGGGGGCACTATGGGCAGAGCAAGATGTGGTTGCGCCTACAATGACAAAAAAAGGTTGAGAACCACTGGACTAGGCAAGTATTAGATGGTACATTATAACAATTGCAACAATAATCATCCATTAGCCAAGATGCCCAAAATATTCCTGTCCCATGCTTTTTGAAGCCCAAACATGCTTGTTGAAGCCCAAACGTGTCATCACCTGTCTCTGGAGGCATTTCACACTACTTAATGTCCATGCGAAGTACAACTTCCTACCCATAACCGTCTTTAGATTCCCTATAAGAAAATAATTGAGTGTAAGCAAAGTAACTCCACTAGTCATGCATTATGATACAGTAGATAAGTATGTGTCCTATGTATCAGATCATTTAAATGTAATTAATATTATATTTAGAATAAATCAAACTTAGTTGTCGTTGTCTTGTTTTTCTTTACAGATGTAATCTTTTAGAAGAAAAAGAGCCACGCTGGTTTACAGAGACCTGACTAGAGGCGTGATAGCACCTACACCCCTGCCATCAACTTGGATCGGTGAGAAAGTTGCTCTGTTCAGTTCTGTTCAACTTAATTTAACCAGGATAGTCCACTCAGTAACAATTGTCACTACTCTCTAGGGCAGGGGTGTCAAACGTACGGCCCGCGGGCTGGATCAGGCCCGCAAACGGGTTTAATCCGGCCCGCGAGATGATAAAAAAATAAATAAAAAATACACGTTTTTTTTTTTTTTTTTGGAAAGTATAAAAATGCGCTGCAATTTTTCAATAAAATAAACTGCTGTTCCAATTGCGTCCACTGGATGGCGCAATAGCAATTGTGTTAAGCAAGCAAACTGTTTATACCGGGGCAGAGCAAGTAGGTCAAGCACGTGCAGCCAATGAGCTACTTTGTTTTGCCCGCGATATTTATTACGGCTTCTACTTTTAACATTATGTGCTTTGGCACCCTCATTGCCCCAATATGTCTCTGTCAAAAAAGAGAAAAGTGGACGCAGAGTGTTCCAAGAAAAATGGTCATCCTATTTAATCACGGAATTGAATGGGAAAGCTGTATGTTTGGTGTGTTCAGAGCATGTTGCAGTGCTGAAAGAATATAACCTTCGTCGCCACTATGTGAGTCTTCATGCCGACAAATATGACAACTTTCAAGGACAGCGGAGATGAGAGAAGGTGAATGAACTGTTGGCGGGTCTGAAGAAACAGCAGTCTGTGTTTACTCACAGCCGAGACATCAGTGACGCTGCAGTGAAAGCTAGCTACCTCATTGCTAATGAAATCGCAGTGGCTTCAAAACCATTTAGTGAGGGTGAATTTGTAAAAACATGCATGATGAAGGCAGCGGAGATTGTGTGCCCTGAAAAGCGGCAGGCTTTTGCAAATATCAGCCTGACAAGAAACACAGTTGCAGACAGGATTTCCGATCTTTCAGTGGATTTGGACAGCCAGTTGAAGCAAAAAGTAAAGTCATTTATTGCGTTTTCGGTTGCAATTGATGAAAGCACGGACATTACAGATGTTGCACAACTGGCCATTTTTTCATCCGCGGAGTTGATGACACATTGACCGTCACCGAGGAGTTCGTGGAGTTGGTGCCGATGACAGATACAACGACAGCAGCTGATATTTTTACCGCACTCGTCGGCGCGCTGGACAGGGTCGGAGTGGACTGGTCCCGCGCTGTCAGCCTGGCTACAGATGGTGCGCCCTCAATGATCGGGAAAAAAGCAGGCGTTGTGACAAAGTTCAGAGAGAAAGTGCAATCTGCAAATGGAGGACGTGATTTTTTGACTTTTCACTGTATTTTGCACCAGGAGGCTTTGTGTTGCAAGTCATTAAAGATGGATAACGTCATGAAGGTGGTCATCCAAACTGTTAATTTCATCCGATCCAGAAGCCTGAATCACCGTCAGTTTGACAGCCTTCTCAGAGAGAAAGACCACATCTATGGCCTGCCATACCACACTGAGGTAAGATGGTTAAGCCGAGGTGCTGTGCTGAGGCGTTTCTTTGATTTACGAGAAGAAATTGAACAGTTCATGGAAGAAAAGGGCAAACCAGTGTTAGAATTTCATTCCGCAGAATGGATGCCGGACCTTGCATTTATGGTGGATGTTACAGAGCACCTGAATAACTTGAACAAACAGCTGCAAGGGCGCAACAAAGTTGTCACGCAGTATTATGACAGCATACGTTCTTTCAAGTTGAAGCTGTCATTGTGGGAGACGCAACTTGCCGGTGGTGATGCAGCTCACTTCCCCTGTCTGAAAAATGTGTGCGCGACCCAACATGTGGCAGACATGAAGCGGTTCAAAGATAAAATAACGGGACTGTTACGGGAGTTTGAGCAACGCTTTCAGATTTATGTTTATATGTTTTTATGTTGATGTGCTATTGTTTTTAATTGATTTTATTTGTATATTTAACCTATTCTTGACTCTGTGGTTCTTGCACTTGTTTGGGGAACAGGATTTCATAATTTGTATCTACATTTCTGCCTGAGAAATGACACCCTGATATAGTTCTGTGATCTGTGATATACTTCTGTGAATCACTGAGGCATTGTGTGTTTGTGTGTTCTTTGTCCTCAGAACTTTCAAATAACTTGAGGTGTTTTATGATTAATAGTGATGTTGTGCTTTTGGACACTGTCCTCAGGCTCCAGCTTTATGTTTATATGTTTTTATGTTGATGTGCTATTGTTTTTAATTGTTTTTATTTTATTTGTATATTTAACCTATTCTTGACTCTGTGGTTCTTGCACTTGTTTGGGGAACAGGATTTCATTATTTTTATCTACATTTCTGCCTGAGAAATGACACCCTGATATAGTTCTGTGATCTGTGATATACTTCTGTGAATCACTGAGGCATTGTGTGTTTGTGTGTTCTTTGTCCTCAGAACTTTCAAATAACTTGAGGTGTTTTATGATTAATAGTGATGTTGTGCTTTTGGACACTGTCCTCGGGCTCCAGCTTTATGTTTATATGTTTTTATGTTGATGTGCTATTGTTTTTAATTGATTTTATTTTATTTGTATATTTAACCTATTCTTGACTCTGTGGTTCTTGCACTTGTTTGGGGAACAGGATTTCATTATTTGTATCTACATTTCTGCCTGAGAAATGACACCCTGATATAGTTCTGTGATCTGTGAAACAGTTCTGTTAATCACTGAGGCATTGTGTGTTTGTGTGTTCTTTTTCTTTAGAATTTTCAAATAAACTTGACGTGTTTTATGATTAATAGTGATGTTGTGCTTGTACTATTTTGGACACACTGTCCTCAGGCTCCAGCTTTATGTTGTATGTTGATCGTATTAAAACAAAGAAAACAATCTGAAGTTGTTGTTTTTAAGTTATATATACCATGATTTTTCCGGTCCGGCCCACTTGGGAATAGATTTTCCTCCATGTGGCCCCTGAGCTAAAATGAGTTTGACACCCCTGCTCTAGGGAGTACTGGGAGAACAGAGCCGGTTCCCTCTGCAGCAGAAGTTGTGCCCAGCTGTAGTGATGCACCTCCTCCACCAGCATAAAAAAAAGGAAGACAGCGGATGTTGAGGCCTGGAAGGGGTTGAGGGAGCTACTCCACATGCCTGCAGAGGAGCAGGAATGTCCTCCACCCAACGCCATCTGCAGTCTGTGTAGAGTTTTGGAGGAGGCTGAGCTATGACGCTGTGGGGATTGTGGCTCAGATAAATATTTCTGTGCCACCTGTGCTGTGAGAACACACAGCACTCCCAACATTGTCCACCAGTTGGAGTTATGGAAGGTAATGTATTTTATGTTGTCAACAAACCTTTCAACTTCTGGCAAAAAAAATGTAATCCCAGTCAAAAATGTAGATAATGTACAGTTGAAGTCGGAAGTTTACATACACCTTAGCCAAATACATTTAAACTCTGTTTTTCACAATTCCTGACATTTAATCCTAGTAAAAATTCCCTGTTTTAGGTCAGT